GCTGAGATAAGCCAAGGGTCGTCCTTCCTGTACTAGAACCGCTCCGATTCCAATGTCGCTCGCATCCGAGTGAATCTCGAACAACACATCAAACCTCGGCATCACGAGCACAGGTGTGGTCGTCATGGCCTTCTTTAGTTCCTCGACAGCCTTCTCGCTGGCCTCCGTCCACTTGAATGCTCCCTTCTTCGTCATCTCCGTAAGTGGCTTTGCGATGGTCCCATAGTCCTTCACGAATTTTCGATAATAGCCCATGAGACCAAGGAACCCTCGCAACTGCGTCAAGCTCGTGGGTTTCGGCCACCCCACCATCGCCTCGATTTTCCTTGGATCCACCTTAACGCCATAATGAGAAATAAAGTGTTCGAGGTACTCGACCACTTCTGGAGCAAACGAGCACTTGGACGGTTTGATGTAGAATGAGTTAGCCTCCAAAATCCCCAAGACAATTCGCAAGTGCTCGAGATGATCTGCCCATGTTTTCGAGTACACCAAAATGTCATAAAAGAATACTAACACAAACTTACGAAGGTACTCCTTGAAGATTGAATTCATCGCAAACTGAAATGTCGACGGCGCATTGCACAAACCAAAAGGCATCACGAGATATTAGTAGTGCCCTTGGTGCATGCGAAAAGCCGTCTTGGGCACGTCCTCCTTGGCCAGCCTGATCTGATGGTAGCCCGCACGTAGGTCGAGCTTGGAGAAGTATCGCGCGCCACCCAACTCGTCTAGCATGTCGTCGACACTTGGAATGGGAAAACGATCCTTCACGGTAGCCGCATTGAGAGCGCGGTAGTCCGTGCAAAACCTCCAAGTTTCGTCCTTCTTCTTTGCGAGCAACACCGGTGACGAGAACGGGCTCGAGCTATGCTGGATGAGCCCGGACTCGAGCATCTCGCCCACCTGTCGCTCGATCTCCGTCTTTTGGAAGTGTGCGTATCGATACGGATGCACGTGCACTGCTCGACCTTCCTCGACCAAAGGTATGTGGTGGTCGAACTCTCGGTGTGGCGGCAGTCCCTTGGGCTCGTCGAGGACCTGGTCGAACTCCTCGAGCAAGTCACGCACCTCGCGCTGCCTCTCCTCGACCACCTGGTCGAACTCCTCGAGCACCTCCACATCCTTACCTGTCTGCTCGACCACGACAGCGTACAACTGTCCACCATCTCGCCACACCTTCTCGATGTTTTTTAGACCAACCTCCTTGGTTGCTCCTTCACTAGCTTTCAAGGTAACGAGCTGGTCACCGGCCTCGAACTTCATCACACCTTTCCGGTAATTAGTCGTCACATCTCCTAGTCCCTCGAGCCACTGCACCCCAAGCACCACATCCGGTACCACCAAAGGTAAGGCGATCAAATCCGCCTTCACCGTCACTCCTTGGAACTTGATCGGCACGCCTCGGTACACCTTCGAGCACCGCAGTCTCTCTCCATTAGCCACCCGCACCTCGAACGGCTCGACCATGGACGTGGGTAGTTTAAGCTTGTGAGATAGCGTCGCATTGATGAAGTTGTGCGACGACCCATTGTCCACGAGCACAGTAACTCGTTGATCCTTTACCCATGCCGTAAAACGCATCGTCCTCGGCCCCTTGGTGCCCGCCATGGCGTGTACAGAGATCTCGGCCTCTTCATCGAGCACCTCGACCTCCACCTCTCGTTCTTCCTCGATCACCGGCTCCTCATCATCCGAGTCCACAAACTCGATCAAGTAATTCTGCTTGCATCGATGTCCCGGCGTGTACTTTTCCTCGCACCGAAAACACAGCCCCTTCTCACGTCTCCGTGCCATCTCCTCCTCCGTTAACCTCTTCACCTCGGTTGCAGGTGGCCTAAAGGTGCCCGGCGGCCTCGCGTTTGCACTAGGTGCGCCCATGGTCGCTGACACACGCCACGGCTCTGGGACACGAAAATCTGCCCGTCCCCTTCGAGTCGCGGCCAAGTGATCCTCCCGTCACCTAGCAACTTCCATGGCCTTATGCATGGTTTCCGGCCTCTCGAA